TGTGCTTAGACTTTCATTTTAAAGTCATTTTACAGAACTAGAATAGTTACTATATAAAATTAATTTTTCATGATATGTATATATAAGCACATTTACATATCTATTTAGTAGATTGATGCACATCGTTAGGGTTATTATTATAACTCTTTTGGCACAATACTGAAATTAACTTGATTTCTTCTGCCTGATACACCTCACATACAATTTTATTTTTAGTGAAGCATGTTAAAAAAAAAGAAAACATAATCTGCAGTTTAGAAAACAGAAAAAGGACAAAGAAAGCCCCTGTTCTATAAACACTTGTTACCAATATCCATTCTCTTAGAATGGGAGATTCCTGAAACAAGGTAAAAGTAGCTGCTGCCTGGAATTATATGTGTACTTGACCACCTGGGTATCCATCTGCTATTGAACTTATGTGTTTATGTGCTTAGTTCTTCCAGAGATGACTCCCTAGTCTCTGCCACTAATCTGCATGGTTAGAAGATAAAATTCACAGAGTTAGGAACTGACAACAGTCACAGGTTATATGCTACAATTGCCTGCCTAATCCCATAATGATGCATGCTCTGGGCTTTTCCTTGGAGCTACCTAGGCTTCCAAACTGAAGATCATGAATGAATGGAACCCACCAAGGATACCTCACTGCATAGGTGGGTGGGTGGGGATGGAGGGTAGTTACAGCAGTGTGGCATAAGGTCTATACAAGACTGGGCTGTGGGAAAGAAGAGACAATTTTAGGAAGAAATGGCATGGCTTCATGACTCAGAGTTGCTCCTGTGCTATAGCATGAAATTTAATTTGTTTTCTATTGATTAAAGAGAGATTAGAGACCATTCTATGATTTTAGGAAGGTAAATAGTATGAGAAAGTCAGTGTCCTAAAAAGAGTAATTTGCTGGCAACATACGAAATTGCCTGGAATAAAAGGACCAAGTGCTAGGATCCAAAACATTAATCCAGTTGTATTAGCCTTTTTTCTGTTGCTTATAACAGAATACCTGAAACTGGGTAATATATAAAGAAAATAAAATGTATTTCTTACAGTTTTGGAGGATGGGAAGTTCAAGGCCAAGGGAAAACTTCTGGTGTGGGCCTTCTTCTGGGTGATGACTCTCTACAACAACACAGGGTATCACATGGTGAGAGCATAGCCCATGGTAACTCATTACTTCTTGAATGGACTAATCCATTCACAAGGGCACAGTCCTCACTATCCAATCACCTCTTAAAGGCCCCACTTCTCAAACCATAATTGGATTCCCCACCATCTTAACACTGTTACAGTGGGGGTCAAGTTTCCAATACCTGAACTTAGGGGAAACACATTCAATCTGTAGCACCA